TATTTAGTCCTATTTTTGGTGCGCTCGCTCTCCATCCAGCCTTTTTCTAGTATTCTCGATCGCTTATTTCCTTCCTGAAAATAGAGTGCGTGGTCTTTGGCATCATATATTACGTTGTTTCTTTCGGCCCATCCTTTACCAAGGATTAAATCATAATGTAAGCCTTCAATAATTTAACCCCACAAGCGTTCTCGTCGGCCATTAATATCAAGGGTAGCATAAGTTATTTGACTAATTTTATGGGAGTTCTGATCATTCTTTGCAAGCTGAAGATTTCTATGTTCTACCGGAATGCGTGGAAGTTTATGTTTCTTGACGATGTTTTCACTGAAGGCAGCGTAAGGAAGACAACCTGAGTCGAATAGGGCTGGCAGAAAGAAATGATCATTTATAAACGATTCTACTAAAAAGGGCTTACTATCCATCCTATTTTTTGCCACAAAAATTTCCTTAGCTGATGGCTCCTTCTCCAGATTCACACCAAAAGAATCATACACCACTGGCCTCTGAACACGACTTTGTTCAGAGGCTATCAGTTTTCCGAGTCCGAAGCAAACTCATTTGCAGGGGTTTCCTTTGCTATCCAATTTACTCCCGCCCAGCGAGAGGAGCTGCAACCTCTCGGTGTGGGATTTTCGCGAAAATTCCGGTACTTACAGTCACCCCATCGATGAGAGGGTGACTTACCGCACCTTTCGCATTGATTACTATCAATGCTCCGATTTCTTTCGGCCTAGGATATTTCTGGTGGGAATGGGCGTTGATCATTTTTTCGCACATTGCTGCTTGACGGTTTGTCATTTGTGCCTTTCAGCACCGCTAATATCGCATTTGTTTGAGCCTGAATCTGGCCTTGGAGCGAGCTGATATCAGCCATCTGAACGTCGCCATCTTGGTCATATCGAACTGCAGGCTGGTATGCTCTGCTTGAAGATGATTGATTAGTTCGGTAGGTTGACTGATCGATATCTATAGTCGATTGAGTAGCTTGTGGTGTGCTATCAAAGGAAAAATATTCTTTGTCAGACCCACAGATAGCTCGAAAGCTGGGTATGGACTCCAACTCTTTAGCGAGGCTTTGGACTTCCCTGACGAAGCTCTCATAATTTGTCTCAGAGACTCCCTAACGGTAGGCTATGCCTTTTCGAAGGTGAGATGCAAGGGCACATTTCATAGCATTAACCTTTGATGCACCGATTGTCGCAAGGTGGTCGGCTTCAGAACAAAGCTGCTCGAAAACAGATCTAAAATTAGCGAAAGTTTGTCGAGGTCCTTGATGAAGGGCATTAATTTTCGTTTGGGCTCTTGTCGCCGCATCTTTGTCGGTGAACAAATCTTCCTGGCGGGATATCAGCCTCTCACTGCTCCAGTCATTTGCTATTTTTTGAGTTTTCATCCATGGTGCTACTCGTCGCTGGGCTTCAGCGGGGAGGGATTGAGAAAAGACAGAATAGCAAAAGGATTTGTGATTAATGCCTTCCTCTGCCACTCCTTCAAGGCTGATTTGAAAGGCAGGGAAATCTACGGGGTCTCCCGACCATTTTGGCCAGTTGACAGTGGGTTTAGTGGATTCTGATTTGTTTCCTGTCATGGTTTTTTGAGTCTGGGGTGCTTGCGAGGTTTCGGCAGGCTGTGGTGCTGGCGGTGTAACGGCGAGCTGGAAGTCCCTCAGACCTGAGACAATATCATCAAGGCTCATAAATTAGGCCTGAGTAGGATGGAGGTGATGGAAGAGGGCCGGTACCGCGAGACGTCACAGGTGTCACTGAAAATAATGAGAGAATCAGAATATGTCACGAAATGGAGTCGTGATTGATCAATCAAACGAAGTTATCGAAGTCTATTCTGATTCTCTAAAATGATAATAACAAAAGTTCTAAACACAATGCGGTCGCGAAGAATTTATGATTCATGGATATTTTACAAAGAGGGACTTAGCGTCTCCTAAGATCAACATAAAATGTGGAACCCCTGAGTACTGTGTAGGGAATCCACACCCTTGGGCCCGTAACAATAAGGACGTCTCGTGGGAACGCGGAGGGCTTTCTAGAGAAGTGGTTAAGAGGAAAGCGAGGAGTAGTTCTAGATAAAGTAGCCGGAGGCGACGGTAGGTCACCATGGTTGACTGAGAACGAGAGTGATATGTGATTAGAATTATGTAACTATTCCTAAAGACAGAAAACAAAGCGTGAAGATCTCAGTCTCGGAAATGAAAACTACATCATTGTCCTCTCAAAGCAAGAAAGCCTAGTTTGGAGGGCAAGACTGAACACCTGTACGCGGTGTCCTCCTCGAACCTGGGAGTGAAATATTCTACCAGAGCCAAGTTCAGTCAAATTTTGAAATACCAAAGTTGGCCCACGAGGCAAAGATTCAAATTACTCCACCACATCATTTTTTCACTCCCAACGAGTTCGACTCCTATCCAAGCCTCATCAAGTCTACAAGTACGACCAAGAACATCCTCATTCCAATTATCACACCTCTCTTCGATCTTCTCTGGCCTGAGCTGGCCGCCAAATACACGCCCACGCCTATATTTATACCCGACGGAGGAAGCAAAGCGTGTCGCACAAATCTGGGAGACAGTTCTTTGGGATGGGCGTGAGAGGGATCAGGACAAGTTTACAAATTGACACAGTGGATGGATACAATCTCGACGGGTGTGTAATTTGGAAACTTGGCAAGGAGTTTTACGAATCGAGCTTTGTGCGCGTCAAGTCTTCGCCTGCGAGAGTGCAGCTGACACTATAAACACAAATCAACGATAGAAGGTGCCTTGGGGTGAAGAAAAAGCCACCATAACTTCGCAGTGGAACTTGCAAATGAAATCCGAGGTACAAGTGCTCTTCTTGTAAATTGAGTCATCTTTTCTGTACTTCACTGATATTGTGTCATAGGTATATAGCTGCGTACGCAATTAAAATCTGGTGCAAAAAAACATAAGTCTGCAGCACCCAACACGCTCGCTCCTACGAATGTTTCAAAAGGGAAACGGTATCATCAGACTCAGTCGTGATATCGGTGATAGAAGAGTCCCGCACCCAGTATCTTTTGCGATTTTCCCTGGCTGCTAAATATTTTCCTACAGTCATCTTTTCGTTCGCTGAAGAGGGCAGATCACAAAGGACGAGGAGCTCCTGAACGTGTGTGGTTAAACGAAGACTTTTGAGGGTAGCTGTGTAAGAAGCCTTGGAGGGGAAATACTATGGGACAGGTAACCTCGGCCTGTGGGTAGAGAGGACCTGAATGTCCTATATAGTCTCAGACTGAGAAGGGACAATAATAGGCCAACGGCCAGGGCAATTCTCAACTATGGCCCCCGTAGACCAACACGGGGAACCAGGGTGACGGGAAACGAACTGCGGGATTCCGGAGAATTAGACTAAAATTGCTAGAATACGGCGCGTTGAAAGCCACTGCCGCCAACTACACGAGACACGACTCAAGTGATTTACTAGGGGCGCATGATGCAGATTAATTGGGTTCAAGTGTCCCGGCCCAAACCTTGACTCAGATAGCCTGCGTGGACAGGCATTGTTCTGAGTTGAGGCAGGGATCTTGGCGCCGAGGAGCGACGAGAGATCCTCTCACAGTCGGTCTGATGGACATCGGCCGCCATGCTTGGCTGACCCTCACGAAATACAGATACGTTCATGTGGCCGGCGAGACAGATCAGGTATGCTATAGGCTGTCGAAAGCGCCGGTATGAGTCGAAATATTGGCCTTGGTCAGTCGCAGGGACGAGAGCATGATTTGAATTTGCTAGATCAAGTTCAAGCTCTCTAGGTCTAATAGGAGAATGGGTTATTGTCATTTGCTGGTAGTTTTCTAGGTGAGGGATTAAGTCAGTCACGCATGTCGAGATTCGAGAAGAATACGGGTGTCAGAGCTGTCCAACTATCTCGATCGCCGATGATTTACAGATTATCCCAAATTGTGGATTGCATGATGTTACAATTTCTTTTTATTATAATTGTATCACTGTGCTTGCTCAGTATTAGGCTATATAGGACATGCAGGTTCTCTCTGCCAAAAGGCTAAGAATTTCTGTATACCTGACAGCTTGGGTCATGTTATCTCTTCTAAGAAATCGTCGTGCACTAGTGATATGCTTCGATTTTGGAACTTTACTCGTAGTTTTGAGTAGGTGTCTAATACAAAGTTAAGGTTCTATTGTAGGTTGGTTATTGTGCAACTTAAGTCTATGACTATCCATCACTTTGGGCACCTCTCTGACCCAGGTCATACCTTGTACAGTGCTCATATCCTCCTTTGTTACTTCAAAGATCATTGATGTATTGCCCCCGATGTCTATCCGCTCAAACTCCTTCCCGAGCCGCATTGTCAGCATTCGGCACCACTAGTTTTGAAGTGCGTAAAGAAAAGTTTCGAAATTTGCGTACGAGGGATGTGGAAATCAGAAAATAGTCTGCCAAGGTCTACCTTCATGTCCTTTGAGCGGGTATCCACTTTTAAATTTGCTGTGATGGGATTAAGAAAACTAATCTAAACTGCTGGACATATACGCGATATATCTTTCTTCATCACAACTGTATGACGTTCAAATATTCATGTCAAAATACTTGGGCACACCTAGTACTCACTTCTCATAATTTGTTTATAGAAATAACATAGCACTTCTACCGAGCTCATCATTTCAATTCTATGGCCTGGAACTCAAGATATCCATACCTTAGTCATACTATTTAAGCTACATACTCATAACTGAAGTATCATTACAATCTATAGAATCGTCTTTTCAATTGTTTCCTACTTGGTCATTTCACTGATCTTCACGAGAGTCAAGCCTCTCTTTGACCAATTGGCTTTAAAGATGTTACCTCTCTTTTGCCCTCCCCCTCACAGCACGACATTAAGTTTTGTAGCTGTTTAAGCATATTGTTAGCACAAATGCCCGAGCTAATTTAGTTAGCTATGTAATAACAATAAGAGGGGAGCTGGAGAACCATGTCGCTTGGCGTAAGATAATACATGACTCATACAATTAGCTGGAGAAGCATAAATTCTCTCAGCTCCTGCGGTGTGGGCCGAGCTAGTTCGCCCTCCCAGCGAACAGCATGTTGTCCAGGTATGCGCTGGAGTGAGTAGCGCATGAAAGCTGTCTCAGAATCCAGGATCTCCATATCTTTGATGCGATAGAGACCATCATAACGAATACCCTTTTTTGGAAGATATTTGTTCATTTTTTTTGTCGCTGCAGTCTTGGGTGCAGCACGTAGAACCCGGATAGGATGGCCTGCGTGCCAAGATTTATTTAGCATCTGTGTGCCCCGGGTCGGCTGGGAGTCTTTGCTGCGCGTGCTACAGTACTGAATGGTCTGTAATAAAAATCAGTGATAAATTTGAAACGTAGGGAGGGTTGATGGTACATTCAAACTATCTTGATCTTCGTAACCCCCATCAGCTAGCACAATGGAATAAGCACCTTCAATGTTTTGCTCTCCGAGCTTGCCGCTGATACCTGCTTCAAGGTCACCATGTGCGCCATCCCGAATTGTACAAACGCGTAGTGGCCACCATTGTCCATTGGTCAGTCCGTTGTTCCCGATGACTTCCCATGCTCGCTTCCAAGTGTATGTGTTGTCTACCGTGCGAGATGTTCCTGGATGATTATTGTCAAACTTTCTTTTTACGTTTACGATTCCGCGAAGCAGCGAGCCGTCGGTATCACCAACGATCCACCGCATCCATAAAGCTTTGGCATCATCACGGATATCCCAAGGAAATATATCGGCATCAGGACCCTCAATTATCCTTACTAATCCTTTATTTTCGAGGATCCCAGTTTTCCTCAAAAGGACACCCTTAATCCATTCGGGCGTCCAGAGCTCCATGTTGTGAATTTGAGTGCGCAACTCGGAGAAGCTAGGATTATAACCTTGATAGTAGCTTTCTATGCAATTACTAATAATATCCTTAATGTGAGATACTGTCACCTCATCGGACCGTTTATATTTCTCCTTCATGTTAATATTTTTATACCATTCTGAAGTCATGCTAGTATCGACGATTCGCTCCTCGACAACTAGAGCTTTTGATTTTGACCATGAGGTTCGAGGTGTATTGAGGATGGCGTGGGAACTATTCTTCTGATTTGATGTAGAGGCGACTGGATTGTTTGTGTTGGATACCTTACTCGGCACTGAGGAGCTCGCTCTAGAAGTAATAGGGACATCATCTTGTTCTACTTAACATGTCAGACTTTTTCTTTATGATTCCAGTGTTCCTAAACCAACCAGTTCTTTTTCTCTTCCTTCCAGTAAGATCTGAGAACTTATTTTGGGATTGAAGAGAATTGGCAAGCCGTCTCGCAAATATCAATTCCAAGCTTGATGTGGGGCTCAGTGTCCCCTGAGTTTGTTTGATTTTTTGAGGCAAGTCATATTCTGCTTTCTGGGAGTTCTCGTGGGATCTAAGTTCTGTATTTCGTGTGTTATCGGGGACTCCATGCTCATCTTGGTTTTGGCTCTGAGAAGCGCCTGCGTCGATCCCATTAAGGCTTTGGCTTGTTTTTAGCCTATATTGCTCATGATTTGCAGACTCTCCTTGATTATTTGCCTTATCAGTGGAGGGTATTGGTGAGGGACTTGTAGTTGTTGGTGATGCGGAATGGGGTGCGACTGTATATTTGCAAGAAGCAAGCCTTGACGCTGCTAACTTTCTATCTCTTTGTTCGAAGAGTGGTTCAATCAATTCTCTGAGACTCATAGTTGGATCGATAATGATGAAAATTTCTCAGTTTGTCTCATGCTACAACGCAATCGCTTTCAATGTGTGAAATGTTCAAATATGGCGTGGCTGATTAACCATGTGATTCATCCCGGGATTCTAAATTCGTCAAATACCGGCCATCTCACGCCAAGACCTCACGGATGTCGCGTCCCATCCACTCCTCCATGATAAACAATTAAAGGAGACTACTAAACGTGGTCATGCTGGTTAGCTATAATTGGAGTTTGATCCACCCCTAGTTGCCCATCGCACCACCGTATAGTCTCATTATCCCAGCCTCAATGATGGCTGCTCCCGACAACGCAATTCGTCAACCCAATGTCTTCAAGGTTCTGCAACGGTGCGTAAGGCGGCGCCCTTTTGAAGAACAGTACCACTCACACCGCGGCCCCATGAATTAGAAATATTTCGTACCAAGTGTTAGCCCCTCAACTGCCTCAATCTTAACTTGTTAGGGTCTGATCGTGACGTTACAAGTGGCGCCGTTGTGAGCTGCCGCCAATTTCCTACATTACCAATCTTGAATCATCTTCGAAGTTCCGGGCATTGGGGGAAGGCAAGAATCTAAAGAGGCAAAGCTCATGGATCCCACATTTCTGACATCTCAAGTCTCTGTCCATTATGCCCTCTCCCTCAATCAAGTCCTCTACATGACTGCTGCATCAGCTGACCGTCTCTTAATCCTCGCAGTGTACCCTCCATAATTTAACTTTTCGAAGGAGTAAAACTACAACTCCAAACTCTAGATATAGCTAGTGATCCTTTAGGTCAAGAGTCTACTTTACATGTGTAGATACCTGCTGATAACTAGGTGGAAAAATATCAATTATATCCTCTGCGGCGGTGAGTTGATATGAAATTATACTTCTTGTGGATCCAAGTTTAACAAACACTTTCATCTGTCTCGAAAGTAAGCCACCGTCCTCGGAGCTAGATTTGTTTGTGGTAGTGGTTGCAGATCAATGTGGAGTCGGAGAAGGGCGAAAACACCGTGGTACGGTGTGTGATCAGTGTAACTTTATATTACGCATCAAATCCTACTACGCACATAATGTTTGAATCAGTAGTTCGACACTAGTTGTAAGATCATGATCAAACGAGAAAGATACAGTGGTGAAACGTGCAGTTAGCCCTGTTGAAGAAATGCAGGCTCTAATTTTTGCCAGAACCCTCCGACCAGTGACGTTTGTGACTGCAAATTAGACCTCCTGTTCAATTGGGTGATATGGCAGAGAGTTTTGCTGTGCCCAAACAGGGTTTGAGTAATACTACACAGGCCCCGTCATACAGGAATTAAGGACACGATAACAGCTAAATTCCGTGAGCTCCCGAGTCAAGTCGATAGCCCAGTTTCGCATCATCTGCCGAGAGGATCGGCCCAGGCCCTCGTTTTTGTGGGCCTGGTATTGGTATGAGTCGATTAGTCTCCATGGTGATCAATGATCGCGTGGTGCAGTGGTACTTCTTCTATGCCGATCTCCCAACAAGAGGCTGGGATTGGATCAAGCTTAATTTAGGTCTCTATCACGTCTACGACGTAAGACTATTCATAGCAACCCGGAAAACGTCATTATTAACAGCATCGAAAGATTTGAAAAATTGTATCATGTCTTCCTGTGGACAGTAGAGACCGGAATGATCTAATACCTTTTCCACTCAAGGTAAGATAAAGCTTATCCGACCCCTCCTCAATAAATCCAAACATCGCGCTAGGGCAAAGGATAGCTTGAGAAAGGTTAATCTAGCTGGATAGAATATTTAGGCCTTTCATAAGGTCAGTTCCTTCAGGGACCATGTTCCGTATGAAGACGAATTCCAGTGATGTTTTCGAGGTATTAGTCAATGCCAACACTAAAAACTTATCGATGATAGAGCCTGAACACCTGCCCGCGGTGTCCTACAAACCTTGGAGTTAAATATCCTCCAAAAGCTGATTTCAGATCTATATTCAAATGCCGAAGAAGTTGGTCTACAACAAAATGATTTAAAACTCTCGACAAAATCAATTCCAACTACTTTCTCGTCAAGGTTACAAGCACGACCTATTATATCCTCGTTTTAATGACCATACCCCTCGCCTTACTCACTGGCTTCAGCTAGCCTCCACATACACGCTCACGAGAATATGAATACCCGCAGCATGGAGCACATCTTAGCCCATGGTTTTGAGAAATAGATCTTCAGGAACAATGTGAGGGATGTTCATGCGAGTGGCAAAATTGACGCTGAGAAAGAATACAACCATGAGGGGCGTGAATCCTGTTTATTTAATTTGAAGTCCTAGGCCGTAGCCTTCAATCTTTTTAGATGTAGGACCGGTGGAGCCGGGCGAGGTTTAACATTTGGGCTTGCCCTGCTCGTTCACACCCATATTAGAGCTAATAAATCATAAGCTCAATAAACAAGTAATGTTGTGGAGAAAAAAAAGAAATAATCAATATATAGTCATTGGTTTTGAGTCGACATTCCTCATCCTGAGCTTTCCGCTGCCAGCTTATTTATGTATGTGTAAATTTCGGAACGGGCAAAAGCCCTACGCCCAAGTGGCATGATGCGGGTACGTGATCTCTAAAGACTCACTACTACCTATCTGACCTCCGCCAGCGTATTTGCCCTGACAAATATCCCAAAACCCGCCCTTGCATTCAGCCCAGAACTTGGATGCGTCCAGTCTACCAAAGCAGCCTGTAACCCATGCAAAGTTCTTAAACTTCTCTAACCCTTTGTGCCCAAGGAGTTGCTTAGTAAGAGCATCTAAGCTTATGTCTTTTCGAAGTCTACGCGTCAGAATATTGTAACTCCGACAGCGTTTGAAGTGGGTGGGCTTCTTTTTTAGCCCACAGCTACAAACCAGATTTGCATCTTCGTGCTTGAAGCGACGGTGATACGCCGCAAAATCCCCATGCCCTGTTCTCGCAGCAAAGAGTTCGTGTAGTGATCTCCATTGCAACGATAGTTATTGGAGTTACGTCGCCGCATTTGCACGTCCAAGTCTTGGTATCGAGCTGGACAAGCAGTTGACCACCATTTGTCTTTCAATTCTTGTCGTCGCTTTTGCAAAAGACGTCGAAGGTAAGCAAGACTGATATAGCTGGGTTGTTTCTGGCTGACCGGAAGTAATTTTAGTGCAGCCCGAGCTTTTTTGTCTGCCTCCACGTTCCCCTCTATGTTCAAGTGTCCTAGATTTGCACAATATTAGGTAAAATTGGGAATTTGGCGCTACATGACTCTGTTTTACAGAATGTAGGAGACCCTACCAATGTAGACTTGGCTAGATGGTGCAGTGGTACATTATGTGGACTGGCCTCTCTATCAAAGTTTGGATGGGTCATGTACCCATTCCAGCCGGCAAAGACGAATTATATGCCTTCCAGTGCTGCCGGTGTAATCGCTCAGTATGCTCTTCTTATCTGGGATACTCAAGAAGAATAGCGTCCGAATCGAAGTCCAAAGCAAACACAGTCACAACTATGATCGATGACTTCTCATCAAAATCGGACCTGTCAGTCTCACGCGAGTCCTCTACCTAAATCTCTCCACACACCACCTCGCCACAACGAACGACAAAGGTGTTACTCCAATTGCATTCGGGCATTTTCCATGTCAAAAACTGGCCATCTCCCACTAAAAAATTACGATGCCATGTAGATCCGCGAGGAGGAAATTAAGTCAAAATCTACAAAGCTCGGGTTTTAGTTTATGGGGGACTGTCGCTTTAATGGGGCATCACATCTTGAGGGTTGACAGACAGCTGAGACGTTGGACGAACGAGTTAAGAGGTCACAAATGGGCATGCTGGGACTCACATTTTTCGAGTTTTTTCGACTAAAGGGTGTCTGTGGGCGCAGAGGCAATGATTTCGGATAGTAGAACCGACACTCTAAAAACAGGCAATGATGGAAGGTGTTTTGGTCCGCCTCCTGGTCATCATCTCCACGAATTAAAGTCTGTGTAGCCTAGACACCTACTTCACTCGATAATGGGAGGACTGTGAGGCCATATCTCGCGCGGTGGCTATATACAAGATGGCAAAGACATGTTAGGGTAGCCAAAGGTTTTTCCTGTTTTCCTATTGGTGGATATTAACGGGTGAGGGAAGGGTGAAAGTCCCTAGGACAAAGGTCTCGAGTGGCATCAGCGAATACACCCACTACATGAGTAGTCCAAATATCTAGCCGAGTTATCGTTGTATATAGTTGTCGGGGAAGCATTAGCCCTCTCCACGTCATGCTCTTTGTGTGCAGGGCTTGTGCCCGTTACGAATAAACTTTCATTCATTCCTACAACGTCGCAAGGTAGCACTTTTGATTTTTACAATAATTTGTTGTATCAACAATGCTCTGGTCTCGCGAACAAATTTGAATACCAATGTCATCGTGTTCGAAATCAGCGCTGCTAATCAAATTTTCACGACAGGTGATTACTTTCTTCCATAAATCCGACAAAGAAGTCCGTGTTGTAAGGGTAAGAGCTTATGTAGAATTTATTGGCCGAGGGTTTAGGGGTGAGTATCGATGAATTAACGTGAACTGTTGATAATTTGCTATTCAGAACTATGAGGATTTAGGAGGTAGTATACGATTCTTATGTACATATCTGTAGTAGCCAGACTCTCGCCTCATTTCTCCAAACTAGTATCACAAAATATTCTTGTATCCTTCATCTGGTGCTACAATCAATAAACACTTTACACAAAGTGCTCCATTACTCTTCTACTCATCATGGAGCTAACTGGAAAGTTCTTCCTTCACTCTCAGATACCAACTCACTTGTGCATCGTAATCATGGCTATTACCAGCACAACAGTCCGTCAAATCTACTCCAGGTCAATCAATTCAAGTCTCTAGCATCAGTCATACATGATTAAAAATCTTTGATTAAACTATCGCAAAAAATAGTATGACCGTTTAAGACGGAGATATGGTTGTGTTTGCTCTAGCCTTCGATTTATCTTGGATATACTAGATATGGAGAAC